GGTTTTTTTCCCAACCCAACACGATCGGTTTTACATAAACTCAACCCAACCCAACCCATGTAAAGATTGAAACCCAACCCAACCCAAACCAACCAAATGTCGGTCGGGTTGAGTTGGGTTGATCGGTTTGAGACAACATATCAACAACTATTAAAGTCACCAAAGTACTAAATTTAAAGCAATACCTATCCTTTGCCAGCCCCTTGTTGAGCAATACCTATCCTTTGCTTGTCTTCATCAGAAAATCCCAGCATGCAAACCATAAGATCAAGAGCCTGAAAACATTAAAATGGGTAACTAACAATTTCTAAGAGGAAAATAAATAAGTTTCTTGCTATTCTTGCAAAGTGTGTTCCGTCATTCAAACCATTATTCAAGCATTTAGTTTGGATGTTGCATTCTTTAAGACATTCTTCATTCTATACAAGTGTGTTAGGATAGAATTTTAGGGGTTTAAACAAAGTGGTAAGAGGGTTACAATTATCATGGACAAATGAAAATAAAATATTTATTTAATTGCATCCTCAAGTTTTCTAAGCTTTCTATCAAACACATATTGATAACTATCCTGCTCAAAACATTGACCTTCATGAATCATTTAGATATATGGAGCGACCATACCTCTTTGCCGTGGTTTCTCTGGAAGTAAGTCACCAGTAGTTTGATTACAATGCGCCTGCCATTGAGATCATTCATTATAACTTCATATATAGTCCAAATAAATTTAACAGAAGTGCAGAATACATAAATTGTGAACTGGCAAAACAAGAGCATAACCATGATGAGGTCTATTGTGATGCAAAACCCATCAAGGAAATCCAATAGCTTAAGGCAATCACAACAAAGCATTGAGAATTAAGCACGGAGGTACCAACACAAAAATGAAAAATTAATGAATCTTGTAAAAAATAGATAAAGACAAATCTCTTTCTCGTTTTTATTCTCTTTTCTGCAATTTCTAAAGTTAGAAAAACAAAATCACTAAATAATTGGAACATGGTCTGAACGGTCTCCTGGCCCTTCTCCTAATTTATAGCAAATAAAGTTAGAAAAACAATTTAAGCAGCATTTTCATTAAAGAAAGCTCGTATACAAGAAAAGGGAAAAAAATCAACCCCCAGATAGCTACAAGAAAATACAAATAGAAAATAAGGAAATA